GGGGATTGAACTCAGGCCCTTGCACTTCCCAGGCAAGCGCTTATTCTACTGAGCCATCTCCCCAGCCCCCCTTCTTACAATAAAGCAAGCAGTCATTTCTGCTGCCACATTCACCACTGTTTCCTAGTTCTGCTATCTCTCTGTGCTGCCTCTTCCCTGAACTACTATAAAACCTTTCTTACATGTGGTATCACCTGAGCAAGTGTCTACAGTCTGTCTAGCTGGACTAGAATGGAATGTCTCATCGTGGCAAGAACTGCAAGCACTCGACATATTTTTGAAGTATAAGTTAGTGATTTCAAAACTTACATATACCATGTACCAGGTACTATGGTAAGCACATGAAATGCCTTAATCTATCGAATCCTGATACCATCTCACACCATAGGCACTGTTATCTTCAATTACAAAAAAGGGAGCTGGGGCTCAATGAGGTAAAGTTATCTGCCCAAAGGCACACAGCTAGTAACGAATCCAACACAGGATGACAGATGAGAACTTGAGGGGGTAGAGAGATGGAGAATATGGTCAGAAAAACCTGAAGTTGAACTACACATCAATGTATCTACAGTCGCTTTGGGCAAGTTAGTTTACCCGAGCCTCACTTCCCAAAATTGTAAACATTGGGGAAAAGACAGAATTTTTAATATATAGTAAATGAACTTTAAGGTAAGGAAGAATTCAGCCCAGGGGCTGGCACAAGAGGGGCATGCAGTAATTATGCATTTCTATTACTGTGAGAAACCCTACTCTGAAAGTTTTGTGATTGAACCAAAAAAGGAGAATCTACAATTATTAGGGGCCCCAAGGTTTTTTCCAGGAAGGTACTGCTTCACCTTCCTTTAAAAAGTAATTGGTAAAGCTTTTAGGATGACCCAGTCAGTGGTCGAGCCCAGGCAGTTCCCTGCTTCGAAGAATCTCACATAAAGCCTACCTGAAGCCGAACTGGCTCTGGAGTCAAAAAGCGAAGCACTGGTTACACTCGGAGCTGACAGACACAACCCGACTGTGTCATCAGGTGAGCAACAGGGCAGCTGGAATCTCACCAGAATGCTGTTTGCAAACAAACCAATAGCCTCCTAAAGTGGCTCATTCCAGATTCCAAGACTTCTTTTCCTGCATGTGTTTCCCAGCCCTTACGGGTATCAAGCTGATAACAGAAACTGGGTTTGGGAATCCACCTTTTCTACAAGTTATCAACTCAGACCTTCAGCCACTGAATCGTGAAATCTCAGACAAAACAAACCCACCAGTATTACTGAGCACCTACGACTTGTCAAGCACTGAGCTAGCACTCAGGAGAAAAGAGAAAAGGGAAGATCTTGTCTTTGACCTCAAGAGGGCAATTTCTTGGGCTCACTATGGCAGCACAAATACTAAAGAAGTCAATCTCTCTAGACCAGTCTCACAATCACAACAAAGCAATGTGGTCAGTCAGACAGTCTCACCTCTGGGCTCAAAGGACCTAAGTTTAAGTTCCGTGCTGATTTGGTGTTTGACCTTCCCTCTGAATTTCAATTTCCTGCTTTGCACCTCAAGGATAATTGTCATTTTATCTGTCTCAAAAAATTATTATTATTTATGTATTTAATACAGGGTCTACAGGGTCTCATTTTTCAGCCTCTCAAGCACTGGGATTACAGGTGTGCGCCACCACTCCCAGTCTCATTAGCTGTCTCAGTGCACCCGGACCCTGCATCTTCCTAAACAGTGGCTTTAATCCACTGAGCTATCTGGCTGGCCCTCAAAAAACTATTGCACAGTAAAATAAACTAGATGAAAATGTGCCATGAAAATTGTGAAGCACAGGTTGCCCCTGACCTCGTGTGTGACTTGTGGAGTCGGCGTTTGCAGCTGCGGAGGGTTTGGCAAGATGTCTCACACTATTTTGCTGGTGCAGCCTACTAAGAGGCCAGAAGGCAGAACTTACGCTGACTATGAATCTGTTAATGAATGCATGGAAGGTGTTTGTAAGATGTATGAAGAACATCTGAAGAGAATGAACCCCAACAGTCCCTCTATCACATATGATATCAGTCAGCTGTTTGATTTTATTGACGATCTGGCAGACCTCAGTTGCCTCGTTTACCGAGCTGATACCCAGACATACCAGCCTTATAACAAAGACTGGATCAAAGAGAAGATCTACATGCTCCTTCATCGGCAGGCACAACAGGCTGGCAAATAATGGAGTTGGAAACAGCAGGGGCTGGGGGCGGGGCTTGGAGCACAGGTGCATGCAGTGCACTGCCGTGGAGCGCTGTCCCGTGAGCCTCTTTCCACTTGTTTCACTCTAGCCAGGATTGAATGCGTTAGATGAAATGTGAGGTGTGAGGATCTTCTCAATCCAAAACCCCATTGAACCCTTTTTCTTTTCTTTTTTTTTTTACTTAAACATTTTTATGATTCAGAAGGCAGTTGTTCCTTGTCGATATTGGTTCCAATCCTTCAGATTGTTCCTATCTGCTTTATAACATTCACTGTACTAATCTTTTAAGATGGGGTAGGGGATGATGACAAAGTTTAGTTATGTCCTCAAGAAAAAGTCTTAGTGAAAATAAATGTTTTTTATTTAAAAAAAAAAAAAAGAAAGAAAATTGTGAAGCACAGTTCAAAACAGCATTATTTTTTTTTTAATTTTTTTAAAAATTTTTTTATTTATTTATGTGTATGTGTGTATGTGTGTGTGTGTGGCCAGCTCAGCCCACCAGGGGGCGGGGCTGGCTGGCATGTGGTGCTGGGGGATTGAACCGTGGGCCCTGTACTTTGCTAAGCTTGTTCTAAGTAGGTGCTTTAGACCACTGAGCCATCTCACCAGCTCCACAAAACAGCATTATTTTTAAAAGCAACTAAATATACGTGGGTGTGGTGCACTGACTAATACAGGCATTCTGGGAGGCTGAGGCAGAAGGCCTGCAAAAGTTCAAGCTCAGCCCGCGCAAGCTGGGACTCTCAAAATTAAAGTGGGGTGGGGCTGGCTCAGTGTGAAGACCCTGCTTTTAATCCCCAGGCCCAGGGAAGAAAAATATTCCCTGCAATACAAATAGAAGCCGTTTGTAGAAGTAGCTGGGTAGTTGATGAGTCTTTACCCTTTCTCTTCCTTTGGACTGGACTGCTCTTTAGATACCTGAATGGCGTGCTGGCTTATATACTAGTACCTGGATGTCCCTCCCAAGTCCTCCTGGCTCTACAAAAAAAAAAAAAAAAAAAGTCAATTTTTAAAACAGCAATCCTTGAACCGGGCATGGTGGCACACACCTGTAAACCCAGCACTCGGCAGGCTGAGCCAGGAGGATCTCTGCGAGTTTGACACCAGCCTGGGGGCTACAAAAGTGAGCACAAGTCCAGCCTGAACTGCATAACCACACCCTGTCTCAAAAAAAAAAGGCCAGCAATCCCCCTAGTATTTCCATTTTCCTTCTTCCTAAAGCACGCCTCTCCCATCTCATACCATACCACCAGATAACGTTTGTTATCTGTATATGCACTCGAATGAACTCTCCGGGGAGGCAGAAACTTCTGCCTCTTCTACTCCTTGCCGGGTATGCGAGAAGTATTTCTCGAATAAATTAATAAACTCGAGAGGGTCCCCCGAGAAAAAGGCCAGAGTGGCGGTTATCACTGACCCCAGTGCTGATCCTCGCTCCCCTCCCGACTGCCGGGGGGACTCCCTCTGGGCGCGGTTTCCTCTCCTGCAGAGTTCCCGACTCTGGAGCGGCCCAGGAGGACCGTGGGCTCACCACGACCGGCAGAGAGATGACCTGGCTGAGTGCAAGCCGGCCCCAGCACTGACCTTGAGCTCCTGGGCGACCTGGGCCTTCTGCCGGTACACGGAGTACAAGAAGGCGGTGACGACGGAGCTGGTGCCCAGGAGGATAAACTGCCCCAGCGAGGGCCGCCCTCCGCCCTCCATAGCGGCGCCGAGCCGAGGGAGTAGGCCGTACACCGGGGACGTGACCTGGAGTCCCCCTGCTTCGCAGCCCTCCTCCCTCCTCCCTCCACCCACTTTCGAACCCGTCCGAGAACCCTTCCCGGAAACCACCAGGTAGTCGCCCAGTGATGACGTCACATCAAACCCGGAAGTGGTGGGACGACGCAAACGGGACCGGAAGACGGGGTTGCCAGGGTGACGGTCGAGCTGTGTAGCTTCCCGGGAAGCGGGTCTTCGCCGGCCGCTGTTTCCGGGGAGGTTTTGCCGAACTCCGCGACCACGTTTTGCTCAGTGGCTGTTTGTCTTCAACACGGAGTTATCGGCTGTTGCTCCTCCTCATCGCCCTCGTCTCTTCCCTCTGGGTTTTCTGGCATTACGAGGTCTCCGCCATGGGACTGAAGGGCAAGAATTGTGTGTTAAGCCGTTAAGAGTGTTAGACATGGAAGATTTAGGGCAAGCCTCGAGACCTGGACTTTATTCTGTCCTCTGCGGATGACGAAGCAGGCTGGAGAGGCTAAGGAACAGTCTCAGCCGTATTGCTGAGGAATTCACCCAGCTCCACAGCCCTTACCTCCTCTTCACGACGGCAGATTGTGCCCCCTAAGTATCCTTTAAATCTGTCATCACCACGTAGGACAATATATTGTTTATTAAGTGATTGTAGCAGCAGTTACTGAGTGTCTGTCAGATACTGCTATATAAAAGCTTTAAAGCCTCCATTTAATCCTCACTGCTATAATGCAGATGAGGAAACCGAGGTTCATTGAATTTGCTCAACAGAATACAACTAAAAGTAGTGCAGACGGGCTTCCAACCCAGGTATTGTGTCAAGAACCCTTTTCTGGCCACCATGAGGCATCTCCTTGCTAAAATAGAGATCCCTAAAAGTTTTATCCTAAAAATCAGCATGCAAAGATGTTGTTAGTGCCAAGCATGGTGATGCACACCTGTAATCCCAGCTCCAGGAGGCTGAGGCAGGAGGATTGCTACAAGGTCAAAGCCAGCTTGGGCCGCACAGTGAGTTTAGGGGCAGCCGAAACTATATGGTGAGACCCTGTCTTAATAAAACAACAACAAAAAAAAAAGTTGTTTGTTAACCTGTTTCTTACAGGTTATGCTTTACATTCTTGGAAATACAAGGATGTGCGTATTGACCCAAATCAAGATTACACATTGCTGTGTTGCATTGTAATGAGAAAAGAATAAAAACAACCTACATGTTATCAAAACCCAACTGATTAAATTTTAAAAGTGCAAAAGCAAACTACAGAACTGTTGGACACCACTTGTTTTTTAAAAGGAGAAGAGTATGTTTGCATGTCTCCGGAAGGATTCACAGAAGCTAATCATAATTACTTTATTCTTGGACCTGCTGTGCCGGCCCCGCCCTGGGGGTGCACTGAGACAGCAATTGAGACTGGACGTGGTGGTTCGCGCCTGTAATCCCAGCTCTTAGGAGGCTGTAAACAGGTGGATCACTAGGAGTCTGATCTAGTAGTGAGACCCTGAACACCCTGCAGACCCTTCCCTAAAATACAAAAAAAGAAATAATAATAATTAGTTTATTCTACAGAAAGAAACTAGCTGGACAAGAGAGAGGCACTTTTGTACCTTCTGAATATAAACGGGCCAGGAATATAGCTCAGTGGCACAGCGATGGTCTGGCAAGTTTAAGGTCCTCGGTTCAATTCCTGATACCAAAGAAAGAAAAGGAAAAAAATGAATATAAATGTTTGGGAGGTTTGAATTTATAAAACTTTTTCTTTTCTTTTTTTTTTTTTTTTAGAACTAGGGATTGAACTCAGGCCCTTGCACTTGCCAGGGAAGCGTTTATTCCACTGAGCCATCTTCCCAGCCCCTTGAATTTATAAAACTTGAATTTAAAAAATGCCAGTCATTCCACAAGAAGTAGTTCCAAAGTGCCTCCTGCATGGAAGGCTCTGGGAAGATGACCTTACTCTTCCAGGCTTCTGTCTCTGGCTACTTAGGGTCTGATATGGAGGGAGATACAAGCAGAGATAGCTGTTGTGACAGGCCCTACTGAGATTAAGGTAAGCAAAGTGCTGCCAGGGGTGCGCAGTTGTGGGGACACTAGGTCCTGGGATTTAGGTCCTGTCAACAGGAGGGAGGACTGGGCCGGCCAGAGAGTTCAGCAGCCTAAAGTGCCTGCTTAGGCCAGCGCACAGGCACAGCGGTTTGATCCCTGGCACCACATGCTGGGATGGGCAGAGGGAGGATGAAGTGGCAGACCAGGATGGGAAGAGGGAAGACTTCTTGCAGAGGGAAGATGAGCAGAAGGGCAAAGCTAGCAAGCATGGGACCTGGATGGCCAAGAGCCAGGACGTGTGACAGACAACAAGGAGCATGGAATTCAAAAGGAGGCTTGAGGTCACATTGTATAGGACCCTGAGTGCCAAAGCAAAACTTTAAAATCCATCGTTTTTAGGATGAGATCCAGGAAAGCTTTTTGAGACAGAACAAGGGCATGATCTAGACCGTTTTGTTTTTAATTTTCAGAATTCCCGTACCCTTACACAGCAAGGGAAAGAACAAAAAGGAGGCCATAAAATTGAAAACAGGAGGAACATCTCCCCCGCAGATAGGTTAGAGATTCTTGTTTATGGTCCTGTCCATCTTGGGCCTTCTTGTTTTATCCTTCGGGCCCTTTTATGGATTTCTTGGAAGTTTGTTTTTTGAAAAATAAGACAGTTCAGTTTTAAATAACTCTGCGTCTTTTGCCAAAGGCTGAAACTCTTAATTAGCCATGCTGAGCACATCATATTGGGACAGTTTAAATTTACATCATGTCAGGCTTGTTAGGCTGGCCGATGAGAGATGGGCCACTTCAGCTGCAGCCAGATGTCCCTAGGGAGCCATGCCCAGCTTGCAGTGGCTGTCCTCACTGAATCACAAGTTAAAATCCCCCCTCCTGACTTGGGCAAAGAGAGATAAGTCCCTAAGGCACCAGGCAGAGCTTCTAGCAGGTGGGGGAGCTGACGTGGGACAGACAAGTTAGTAAGGACAATGACACCACTAAAAGCATGTCACCCTAGGCTTAAATTCACATATGATGGGCCAGCAAAATAGCTCAGCAGTCTAAAGCACCTCTTTAGGCACGCTTAGGCAAGCACAGGGACTGCAGTTTGATCCCTAGCTTCGCATGCCCGGCCCCCAGGGTGTGTTGAGCCAGCCAGAGTCTGAGTTCAGTGGCACATGCCTGTAATCCCAGCACTAGGGAGGCCGAAAGCAGGAGGCTCGCCACAAGTCCATCCTGCATAGTGAGACCCTGCAACAACCAAACACATAAAAATTTTTTTTGGCTGGGGAGATGGCTCAGCAGAATAAGCACTTCCCTGGCAAGTGCAAGGGCCTGAGTTCAATCCCCGGTTCCGCAAAAAAAAAAAAAAAAAAAAAAAGATAAATTTTTTTTTTTTTTTTTAAATTCACGTATGCCTTCAGAAGAGCAAAACTTTCCTGAAAATCACTGAGTAAATGCTTCTTAGGCATTCAGCAAAAGTCAAATAGATACAAGATCAGGCATCTTAGTGTCTACACGAATATTACCAGACAGATGCCACGGGAACCAGGAAATAGGGTAGATGTTGATAATAGCATACAGCTTCCTTACAGAACATTCCTTACGCAATCATCAAAATTATCTAATATATGCAATATATCTTTGTTGTGCCAGGAATCCAACCCGGGGCCTTGCGTGTGCTAGTCAAATGCTCTCCTATGGACTGATTGCCCAGTTCTTGATTTCTCTGTCTCTGTGTCTCTCTGTCTCTCTGTCTCTCTGTCTGTCTGTCTGTCTGTCTGTCTCTCTCTCTCTCTCTCTCTCT